TCTTATACATTTTAAGGAAGCTTGATAGAGAAAACCGAGAGAGAGAGAAGATAAGTTTAAGTCTATTAGGCTACACTAAAAGAAAAAGGGCTGCACTAAAAAATGGGTTTTTTCAAAATTTTAAAGGGGCCCAAGGCATCAAGGCGTGGTAAGGCGAACTAAGGTGAGGTAAGGCGACGCCTAGGCGAGCGCCTGGTCGCCTTAAGGTTTTCTAGGCGAGGCGAGCAGACAAGGCGTCCCAGTGACAACGCCTTAACGCCTAGGCGACGCCTTAAAAACTATGACATATACACTCAGTTTTTTAGCTTCTTGCACTCTAAAGAATGATGGCCTGTAACATCATATTTGTAGCATTTTCCTGCAACTTTATTTTTGCCACATCGCTCTTAGGACATTAGTGACTTCTTTTCCTTTTTTCGGCTTGGCCCCCTTGCGAAAATCTCCCCATTTTTGGACATTAGTGAAAGGCTCATGTTAGTCATGTACTCATTAGAAATGAGTTGAAACTCCTCGACCTCTCTAGCCACAAATTCAGAATCCATCATCTTAAAATCTAAGATCTTAATGACTTTTCTTCGCATCAATGCCTTCAGCCTTTGTCATTTCTCCCTTGGTGTACCATTCGTGACATAGTTATGGCATTGAAAAATCGAAGTGTTCCATACGTCAATGCCGGGTCGATTTTCACATGGACTTGTCAATTACGGATTAATTTTTTTTTAAAATTGAGTTTGTGACAATTGCAAAAATGCAAGAAAAACACAAATAAAAAGAGCATCGAGAGTTTCGGGATAAATCGATTATAATTAACCACCATTAAGACTAAGAAATTGTGTTCAACCATTGTAAATGTGAAATTGCCACTATAAGTAATGAGAAGGTGATTAACCTCCATGTAAAAGCACTCTTACGTCTGGCATACATCTAGAGCTAATTTTGTTAACGCTCAAGACTCTCATAAAAAATATTTAGGGTCTCGTTGGGAATAACGTTAAAGATTAGCGTTTTGAAATTACGGGTAACATTTAAGGTTTTCAAAATAATCTGCACCGTTAAAATTATGGGCAAGGTTCAAAATATCCAAAACACTGACGCTAATCTTTAGTGTTTTTTCAAGTTGAACATTGAATATGCTTATTGGAAATACATATTCGATTTCGGGTAAAATTAATTGCAAATATACGGTGAGGTTCTAGTGACACCGGAGTACGGTGCCACTCCGGTGCCATTGACATTTTGGGGCATCTCTGGTGCTCCGTTCGCAAAATTGACGGTTCCTACTTCCCTAACTCACCCCTAAACCCCCCATCCTACCCCGCCCCTGCACCCGTATTCCGGTGTCACTAGAACCCCACCGTCAAATATAACCAATTTTGGTTATTATCCATTTTGGGTACTATATTAATTTCAAATCTAATCATCATTCCCTTCTCGTTATCTTGTTCCGGATCTTTGTTGCAGGTAACGCAATAATTCTACTTGAATATGCTTCGCCTCCCTGTATCGCGCCAAGTCGAGAATGCGTCGTGATGAGCAATGAGTCTCCTCCGCCGAGCGCTTCCGTCCGGCCATTCTCTGAAAGTTTCTGGGTTAAGAAATCGGCCCTTCGGAACTTCAAACTTTCCTGGCGACTCTCCCGACTGTTCCATCTCTCCTTCCCTAATTCATGGAATTCATGTATTTCACAGCCCAGTCAGTACTTTTTCCGTCAATTGTTCTCAGCCTGATTGGACCTGTGATCGAAAATTCAATTGTGTGTAAAACGAATGCTGTTTTCGTATCAGGATGAAGTAGGAATCGTGGCAAAGCTTTCGGATTGCATTGCGTCTAGGGGCGGCAACATTCTGAATGCCGATGTGTTCGTGCCGGAAGATAAGCACGTCTTTTACTCAAGAAGGTCTGCTTCATTCCTTGTATGCCCATTTTTTTGTTTTCCTTTGAATTTTGAGAAGCGCTTGTTTGGCTTAATTCTTAAACTACTCTGTATTTCTTTGGTTATTTTGGGGTATGTTAGTTTACTGATTGATTGCATAGTATTGTTTTTAGTTTTACAATTTGTGAAATGCTGTTGCGTTTCATATATCCTTTAAGATTATGCTCTTACCTTGGTGGGGATTTTGGCAATGAAATCTAAGAACACTTAGGTCCCGTTTGATACACGGAATTCAAATTATGGAATTGGAATTGAGGAGTTCAATTCCAATTCTCACGTTTGGTTGCACAAAAATTATGTGAATTTGGAATTGGTAGTGCAAAAAATGAATTGGAATTGGTGAATTCAATTCTATGGAATTGAATCCCATGGAATTTTAATTCCAATTTAATTCCAATTCCATCAATTCTGTGTACCAAACAGACCCTAAGGCTCCGTTTGGTACAGGGAATTCAAACTATGGAATTGGAACTGAGGACAACAATTCCAATCATGCTGTTTGGTAGCACAGAAATATGTGGATTTAGAATTGGTAGTGCCAAAAATGAATTGGAATTGAAGAATTCAATTCCATCCCAACCAATTCCATAGAATTTCAATTTCCAATTCAATTCCAATTCCGTCAATTCCGTGTACCAAACGGACCCTTATGTCGTGGTCCGCATAGAGATCACAGTTCACATGAGTTTTGGTATTGGATATGTGACCGTACATTTGGACAACAAACTGAATATGGTCTTCTAAACAATGTAAGGAGCTGCACCTATCACTGATAGAGTAAGAGAACATAGACTGTAATGGGTTGGCCATGTCTGCTGCTGAATGTGATGACAATACTAAGAAGGGTGGAGAGCTTTTTAGTTGAGGAGACTAGAAGGAGGAGAGAGAGATATCAAAGAGGACGTTGGATGAGAAGCTGTGACTGAACTTGGCAGCAATTAACCTCTTTGATTACATTGTCTCTAATAGGAGCTTGTATAGATTCTGTATTATGGCTATTGATTTATTGTAAGGCTGTGTCCTAGTGTTGTTAGGGGTTGGGTGGTCCTCTATTGTTTGATATTGTTGGCTGGTTTAGCTAGTAGTCCCTGCTTCTCAAGTTTGTTTCTATGTTTTGGTTTTACAATGTTTGACAGAAGTTATTTTCAATTTGATTTATTTAAATATGTGTAAAATGTAAAAATAAAATTTATATATTTTAAAACGACATCAAAAGTTCTTTGAAAGAAGTGGTGGCTTGAATATTTTACTTCAACAAATGATTGATAAAAATATAGAGTATAAAGAAAGATGATATGCCTATGAATGTAGACTGTAAAGTCCATTTTGGAGTCAAGGGAGTACTTTATTTTCTTGTTCGTTCACTACTATTTTTCTCTGTTACCCTATTACCAGTTTTTTAATCTATTCTTTCATGACATTTTTATTGTTTTCCAGCCTTTTCCCTACATTCATGGTCTTTTTTTTATTATTACTTTTGTGTGTGTATATTATTTACACTATCTTCCATTGTTGGTTTGGGTTCTTCATTGAAACAATTTCTCTACTCTGTAGGATAGGTGTAAGATCTGCATAAATTTACCCTCTTCAGACTTTAATTCCGAGTGAGTTATACTAGTTTGGTTTGGTTTACATGCGTTTTACTGCAAGGAATGATTCATCATTTTCATTGTGACATGATTCAGAATGTCTTTTTAAACAAGTTCTGCATTCAGTTCAATCATATTTTTCACTGGTATGGATGAGTTTAATTGAAAGTTTAAAGTATTCAAGATGGAGCCCTAGGGTGCATGACTGCATGTTATATGCAGATGCTATTGTTGCAGTGGACAAAAGTATGCTAAAGTTAATCACTAAGCTTGAATTTAGATAAGTCGAAACAAAGTGGTTATAGGGAGTGCAAATTTAGTGTACCGAAGTTAAAAAGTAGCAGGTTGTAAAATTGGGCATGAAGGAATTAGAAACAGACAAGTGTTTCAGGTACTTGGGATCTATTGAACACAAAGAACTGAAGATAGTGACAAAAGATATGGCATATAATTTTAAGGCAAGTCAACTCATGTGGGAAGGAGTACCATGAATACGATGTGTTTGAAATGTACCTCTAAGATTAAAGGTATTTTTTGTAAGACTGTCTTTATTATGCTTGCTTGAATGTTAGACAACGAAGAAAAACTTGAGAGTTGATAAAGAAAGAGAATGGGGCGGGGATGTGTATGTTGCTATGGATGCGTGGTAAAAATAGAAAAGATATTGTGCACCATAAGAAAATGTGCGGGAAGGTAGGTGTAACCGCTATTGATGATAAGTAGGTTACATTGGTTTGGGCATGTTAGTCGTCGTGAAGTAGGTTTCTGGATTAAGCTTTGGAGTCTTAGAGTGTACGGGACTCACGTAGAAATTAGGATAGACTGTAAAACTTGGACTGATGGTGTATATATAAACACTGGAGCGTTGGAGCTGGACAAACATAAGCCATAAGGCACATGACCGAAAAGAATGGAAAAGGAGATTTTGATGTTGCCATTGATAGAATTTTTTATTAGTTCATGTAGCTGGCCAACTGACCACATTGAATTGGGAATTGGGATTGAGATTTGCTCATTGTTGTATACTAGAGGAGTATGCCATTAATAAACATGTATATTTACTATTGCATTATTGGGCGATCCTTCATTTACATTGGAGCAAGTTATCTGGTTTTGATCCTTTTTTTCTGTATATACATTATACAATATCTGGAATACTTTTTTTATGAAGTTATGATTCACGCACTTCAAGATTTTCCTAATATTCAAGTGAGGATATACAAGGTTTCATTTTTATCATGAATTCACATGTTTCTTGTTCCAACTTACAGTGAATTTGTGTTTAATCCTGCTAAATGGCCACGTGGCCAAATGGATGAAGACTTCCTAAAGCTTTCAAAGACGTTCAATGCAACTACGTCTGTGGTTCGTGTGCCTTCTTTGGATCCAAATTACAAGATTTCTGTTCTTGCATCAAAGCAGGTTGTGGTTCTGAGAATGGTCCGGGAGCTAGCTACATTGTGAACTTATAGTGAGTACTATTTTTGAATGATTTATCATTACTTAATTTATGTGTGTAGGATCACTGCCTTGTCGATCTATTACATGGGTGGCAGGATGGAAGACTTCCGGTTCAGATAACTTCTGTAATTAGGTACAAGTTTGGGGATTCTTCGTCTATAACATTTCCTTATAAAGAAGAAAGCATTCACATGTTAGATTGTTCTTGTTGACAGTAATCATGAAAGAAGCCCAAACACCCATGTGATTCGATTTCTTGAAAGGCATGGGATTCCATATCATTATCTGCAGACCAGTAAGGAGAATAAAAGAGAAAGGGAGATCTTGGAATTAGTTCAAGACACGGACTTTATAGTCCTTGCAAGATACATGCAGGTAAAAAAAGCTAAAAATATTTTTTTCATTACTGAATTATACTTTGCGCTTGTTCTTTGTTTTTAGATCGATTTACTATGGACTGCTAAAAAAAATTAACAGATAAAAAACTGAAGATGTGTCCTTTGTTCCTTGTGATTGATCATCATCGTAATCAAACTGAAGGGTATTTTTTACAGATACTGTCGGGAGATTTCTTGAGAGATTACGGGAAAGACATTATAAACATTCACCATGGTCTCCTTCCTTCATTCAAGGGTGGGAGGCCTTCTTGGCAGGTTTGTTTGTTTTTTCTCTCTTTTGGTCTATTGATATTTCAAACTTCAAGGTACTCAACTGCCATGAAATGCTTAATAGGCCTTTGAAGCTGGTGTTAAACTGATTGGTGCAACAACTCACTTCGTCTCTGAAGAACTTGACGATGGGCCAATCATTGAACAGATGGTTATGATATACCTTGCCTTTCAGTATCCCTTTCAATCTCACATTTAAAATTTTTGGCCATAAACGGAACTTTAATTTGGTTGAGCTTAGGCATTACCATGTCATAATCTATTTCAAATTGTTGTCTTATATGTTTCCACCATTTTTTTTCCCAGGTTGAAAGAGTTTCCCACAGAGACAATTTGCGTAGTTTTGTACAGAAGTCTGAGGAACTTGAGAAGAGGTGCCTTGCGAAAGCAATAAAGTCGTACTGCGAATTGCGCGTTTTACCCTACGAAGGAAACAAGACCGTTGTATTTTGACATGGGGCAGTAAGAAATGCTGTGAGTTGCAAGTTCATGACAAATACATTGCTGCAGTGGGGTCCTCAAGTAAGGCTTTACCCCCCCACCCCACCCCACCCACAACCATCCCTGGTGTTGGGTGTCAAGTTTCATTTCATTATTATTATTATTATTATTATCATTAGGGAGTTGAAAGAGTTAAATAAAGCTGTAAAAGAGCAGTTTGGCGTGCTGAAATGCCTTACTTGAGATGTTCTCTTTAAGACAAACATTCCTTAGAAAGCCAAATATTTGTGCTGATAGAATAGATGGGTACTCAATGTGGCCGGTTGGGGCCTGTCTCCTTGTCTTTTGATGTCCCCGTGTTCATCCACTTGTGATCCTGCCCCCAAATTAGAGCCCCACATTTGATCCACAACCCCAAGGGCCCCGCACCTGTGACCCGGTGAATATGTGGAGTGAGGTAAATTAGAACCCAGCAGTCAGTCTCTTAAAGGGGGAGGCTCGCCCTATAGACATTGCATGCAAGGAGACTATTCTTACCGTCCAAACTGGCCACGCTGCAAGGATTCGACTTTGTGCCTTGTTGCTAATCTACTCCTTCCGGAACCAACTGAGCTACCCCTCCGGCCAGTTCCACATTTGATCCATTATACTCCGGGATAGTTATTTAAGTGAATTTTGTTGGAAATCAAAGTAATATGGAAAAATGACTAAAGTAGGAGTAAAACATATATAAAATATCAAAATAAGAGTTTCATGTTTTTCTTTCTAGCATAAGAGTTACAGCATCGATAATGTCAATAAATTTTACAAAAAACACTATGAAATGCGAATATATCGTGTCACATTGCAAATTTCTATTTTGGGAGAAAAAAAATATAGAACTCATATTTTGAAAATAAAGATTATGTCTTCCTCTTATTTAGGATGATTTCTTAATGAGAAGAACATTGAGACAAATAAAATGATAGCATATTTTTCGAAGAAAGCAATTTTCGAAAAGGATGAAAAAGATTTTTAAAAAAAATTGACATCCCAAAAACGAAATATTTTTTTAAGTCATTTTTTAAAAGGAAGAAGAAAGGGAATACATGGAACAAAATCTACAACAAATTCCATACAAAATCAGAACTTAGAGAAGCCGTCAACGATTTCTACTTCCGCGGACCGAAATCATAATAGAGAAACGAAGAAATAAAACCGAGGAATAAAAGTTGCAAACAAAATAAAAAAATTCAAAACTAAGAAAATCTCGAACTGCTTTCGCTACGCTTATAAATTTTGACAATAGATTATAGAAAAAATAATTTCAATTGTGATATAAATTGAATATCAATAAACAATTTTTGAAACTTAATTTTGAAATATTATACTTGTATAATCAGAATTTATATATAAATAGAGATATTAAAAGTCATAGTGTTACATTAGAAATTGTGAAAAGTCAAATTAAAAAAATGAGACGAAGAGAGTATTATTTTTCATTAACTTTGATTGTTTATCTTGTAAAACAGTGGAAATTAATAAAAGTGATGGGGAATCGGTGATAAGTCATTTTTCCCTTTGTTCTTGTTCCAAAAGGTGAAATCGCTCTCCTCCAGCGCCTCTCACCCCCTGTGCAACGGGATTGTGAGAGAAGAAAAATCATGGTGACTCAGCCGAAAATAGAGGTTGGGACCAGTGTTTACTCCACACATGGAGCCCCTCTCATTTTCTGAGAGGCTCCTCCCACACTGTCGCTGGTTAGGTTTGATCATTCGTCTCTTGTGTTTAAAAATTCCACCTCTGAGACGAGTGGAGCGGCTTATGCACGCATTTTTTTCCCGAAGTTAAAATTGAGTTTGCTCTCCAAAAAAAAGTTAAAATTGGAATAATACTTTTTTTTCAAAATTAGTTTCGGAAAGTCTTATCACTCATATTGTCTCCACCCACTTTTCTGTTTAAGCATTTACAAAGTCACAATGAGTTAGCTTTAATAAGTGTCTAAAAAAAGTTTGTTTTCCAACTTCCCCTTCACCTCAGTGGTAGAAAGCATATTCTTCAAAATCTATGAAGAAATTCACCCACAAACGTTAGCAGAGGCAGAAATACTCACTCATTGTACGTCATTATGTTGAAAATAATATGAACTTATATGGGAAAAAATTAAAATAGAAGTAAAACATTAGCAATATACCAAAATTAGAGTTCTATATTTTTATTTTCGAAATAGGAGTTAAAATGCATTTACATTACCAAAAATATAATAAGATGCACATGTACAATACCATATTACCACAGTGCGAACTCCTATTTTAGTAGTTTCTCTATGTTTTACTTTTATTTAGGACGGTTTCTACTGATACTACAATGTAATCAAGTTAATCATGCTAAAAATTGTCTTTTTCCTTACATAAAAATATCCCCTTTTCTTTTAATATTTTTCAAGCTAAATAGCATTTTAAAGGATTATTTGATCTAAATGAAAATATTACTCTCAAACAACATTTTATGCTTCTTTTTTAAATTTGGTTTATTCATAATAATAATAATAATACAATGTAATAAGAATTAATAATAATAATAATAGTAATAATCACTTTATCCTATTCTTGCAGTTGATTTTCACAAATTTTTATTCCGTGACATCCAAAGAATATAAAACTTATATATAAAAAGCAGCTTATAGTTAAAATTAGTACAGGGTAGAGGAAAATGATATGGGCCACAAAATTTTCTAAAAATGGAACAGTTTTTTAGAACGGAAGAAAAAAGAAATGTAAAAGATTATTGTGGGGCATAGAGATCATCCATTTTACAGACAGTAATTTACAGATATTCTACTAGCAAATCACCATAATATTCATTGAAAAAAACTTTTCAACACACTTAGACTGCAGTTTTCTGCACATTTCCATTAATGAATGCTTAACATTCTTAAAGAATGCTGAGATTCCTCAAGGGAAATGGCCCTATCAAGCAAGTTCTGAATTCCATCAACCCATTTCTGCTTGTGGATTTTGTTCTTGCATTTGAACACCAGAAGCGACTGCGCGGTCCGCACCCCGAAATACATTTCCCCGTTCTCCTTCGTCTTCTTGATTGGCAACTCGTTTGCATCGTCGCACACTTCGTACACGATGCCTGAAAATTTTCACGTGTATTTGGTGAGCCAAAGTGACACTCTCAACTCTCAAGTAGTGTAAGAGTAGAAGCCCGACCGTCAGGTCAGACTGCAGGTTGGGATGATGTCACTACCGAGCTGCCCGAACCCGCTCTATTGGTTGGGCACCAGCTCGGGCAGTACTGAATAATGAATTTATAAGGTCTTGAATTAGAGTAGATATTGGGTTCAATCTTTTGGTGTGCTTTGGTTTCCGGTGGGCCAAAGGGGTAAACCTCGAATTCGATTCGTGACAAATGCACTAATAGACAATTATACTAAGCATATAGCCTCTACAAGTACCACGGTTAGACTCCACTCTTTGTCACCAATTTACGAGCAAAGTCTAATTTACTTCCTCTCAGTGACTGTTCGCCGGATCTGAGGAGACCCCCGGGGGGATGGGGTTCATTTTTTTTTTTGTGTGATTCGGTCCAAGTATCTGTATGGTCCAATTCAGTGCCCCTAACCAATCTTAAACTCTATTTGAAAACAAATGAAAAGAATGAGAACTTACTTTTATTCCTTTTGGAAAAAGCTCCACCAACATGCTTGCTTTTCATCTTAATGACCACCTGTTGAGCAAAACTATTCATCATGCATCACTTGGTTATAGCTCAATATGAATGAATGAATGAATGAATGGATCCCTTAAACACAATGCTTATTCTTAACAAAGTTTATACACATTTTTGCTATACAATGCACATTAGCAAATACCTGTGATTCTCCATCTACACAGACAAATACATGTTTCCACCTCAACACTCCTGAAAAATCAATCACAACCCAAAATAAAAACCAAAACAAGTTGTGATCTTATCATCTTTTTTTTTATACTCTAAAGCCAGATTCCAAATCTTGACATTGTTGTGAGAATGATCAAAACAGAATTAGATCATCAAATGAGTTTGTTGAGTTTTACCTTTTCCGGTGACTTGTAGCAAGTCGCCTTCAAAGGGAGGATCATCCTCTCCCATTTCTGTGTTAACGGAAGGCGGGTACGCTTCCATTAACACCTTGTCGCAAGGACTTATGGTTGCGTTCCTCTTTGCTTCTCTCGGCATTCTCGCCTTCAATGTCGCCACCCCTCTCAATGCTTTATCATTACCAAAAACCACAATTTTCCAATCAGAAGTCATAAACTAATCGCCTAAAATAGGAGTAAAATATAGTACTTATCCTCAAAATAATAGCTTTAAGGTGGGATTCTCATGACATTGGAACCCCATGTCATGAGATGGCCCGGGGTGCTCCAATGCCCCGTTCGTAAAATTGACAGTTCCTACCCCTCTAACCTCTGATAAAATTCTCCACCCCGACCCGAACACACCCCTCATCCCCTTCAATTGCATCCCACAAGTTGATTTTAACTTTGGAGTCAAAATTTGACTCCAAACTCAAAATGAACTTGTGGGGTGCAATTGAAAGGGGTGGGGGGTGTGTTCGGGTCGGGGTGGGGTGGGGGATTTACCGGGGTTAGGGGTAGGAACGGTCAAATTTACAAACGGGGCAGCGAAGCGCCCCGGGTCATCCCATAACATTGCCGGATTCCGATTTTTAATAGCGACGCCTTACCGGTGGCGGCTGCGGCCGTGAGAGTGGTGAGGTCACTGGCGCCGCGAATGTCTACGGCGGATCTAACCACAGAGGCCACGCTGTCCCGATCCGTCCCGGCAGATTCAGCGACCTCTACGCAGTGGGAGGCGAGGAGCTCGGTGGCCGACGCCAGGGCGGCGTGCATCTTCGAGCCTGGGCCGTCGGGATTGGCATCTGTGGCGGCGGCAGCGGCCACGGCCGCCGCTAGCCCGGCAACCGAAAGCAGAGCATGCTTCTGGGCGTTCTCGAGGCGGGCTTTGTCCTTCTTCTTCACCGCGCCGCATTCTCTGGAATTGAACCACCGCCCTATAGCGGCTCTCTTCCCGCTCCTCTGGTTCGTGATCTTGATTGCCTGCTGATTCAAAGCATTTCTCAATAAGAACAACACACTTCAATTTTATCCCACAAATTAGGCTAAAGATTTCTTATTTTTCTTTTCATTTCTCCCAAATAAATGTTCTTCTTTTCAATATTTGCAAAGTTCTTTTCCATATTAATTTTTCCCTCTTCTAAATTACTTTTAAACACAATTTTGTTCTTTCTTGATCTTCCTCTTTGAAACTTTTTAATTAGATGGAAGGAGCAATTGTTTGGGAAAGCCTACATTACTTTTAGTTTAATTCATATAAGTATAAGTGTAGGATTTAAAAGTAAAATTTGCACGAATGACGGGTAATCTTAAACCAATTCATTTGAGACACTTATAATGTTTATATCGTAGAATTAATTCTTCTTATCCCTCAATAAACCTTATCCCTTACATATCATCGCACCCTCTCGAATTGCACCAACAAAACTTTGGCTAAAAAAAAATGTACAATGAAATCAACAAAAATTTGAATAGTGCAACGAGACGAAGTGCGAGAGCTAAGAGACAAACCAGGTATAGGAGGTTTACTTACAGGTGGATGAAAAAGGTAAAAAAACAATCAATTTTACGATGGAATCGCCAAATGAATTGGTGTAACAAAAAAAAAACAGAGCGAATATTTTATTTTATCGAATAATTGATTAAAATAAGTAATTTGAAAGAAAGGGTTAATGATTTAGAGAGCAAAACACTTACGCGAGGAGGATGGACATGATGAGGGGGAGGAGGAGGAGGATGGAAAACCTCAGTCTCAAGAATGACAAGGGGTTTCTGGTCAAAAGCCCCAAGCTTGTGCTTGAGAGCTAGAGCTTTCGAGATCTCGGAAGCGGATAGGCTCCAAGATCTGGACAAGAAATCCATCGGCTCTTTCGGAGTCGGCGGCTGAGGAACCGCACAACCGCCGCCGCCATCCAAACGCCGCCCCTTCTCCTCGTCGTCATCCCCGACCTCCTCCTCCTCCTCGATATTGCTCAGCAGCCAGTGGGCGGAGGTGTCCTTGCTCCACCCCTGAAGCCCCCGCCGCCGGTTGCTCTCCTCCTCCACCTCCGCCGCCGCCACCATCTTCTTCTTCTTCTTCTTTGGCCGGATGACGATATGTTTCACACACAGACTCAGTAAATCTGTCATCTATTATATGTGCAGCTGCAACTCCACAAGGCGCATTATATTATTGGAGTTCTTTTTTCTTTTTTTTTACTGCGTGCTCTGTTTTTTTACTGTGTGTGTTTTTGAGAGGAGGGAGAAGAGAGAAGAGAAAGAAAGTGAATGGAAGAGACAGAAAAAAGCTCTCTCAATCACTCCCTTTAAATATTCTAAATTTTTGTACGACGAAAAGCTGAATGTTTTTCGTGGGTGTTCCTTCGGTTAATTTGGCATTAATTACTAGCTTATTTTTTTGCATTTTAACTCGAAATATTGCATTTTTGACCGGTTAAAAAAGTTAAATATTCTCTCCTTTTATACGGAGTATTTAACTTTTGGTATAGATTACAAAATGGAAAATGCTAAAAACCCCACCTTTGCTACCACCCATGCCCCTCCTACATAAACATGTGGTAGGAAGACAAGAAAATTAAAATTAGAGGGTGTGTGGAGAATGAGTAGAGATAAATATGTGGTGGAGAAGTGGGTGGAGGCAAGGTTGGTAGCAAGGGTGGGGGTGTGTAGCATAGTCCTTACAAAATACTCCTTCCGTGGTAGTGCTAGAGGGAGTGGCAACAACATCGGAAAAGTGTCAGCGAAGAAGATCAACAAGGAAGAAACCTTTAGCCGATTGTGTCCGTCTCAAGGAAACGAAAGAGATTGGCTGGAAGGAAATGAAAGTGTCGGCCAAAATTGAACCAGAGAGGAGATTTACAACTCCTATTTTGGGTATATAAGTTAGGAGTTGGCTGGAAGGAAATGAAAGTGTCTAATGATTTAGTCTTATTTGGTGGGTTTTCTTATTGGATTACAAATTGGAGTTTGCGTGGAAGTATATCTCACTTTTTAAAATTATTTTATTTACAAATCGGTATATCGATAAGAAATAAAAATTATGTATTAAAAAATTACGTCAAAAATTATACAAAAGAAGATGTGAAAAGAATATTTTATTTGATCAAACACTTAATGAAATTGTGTAAACAAACAAAAGTTATCGAGAGAAGAGAGAAAAAAGATGTAATAAGAGTAAATTTAATAAAAGTATATTCCATAATAAGAGTAAATTCCATAAAAAATTGTAGTAAGGAGTATTTTCTAAATAGAAGTTCGCATTGTGGTAATGTGGCACTGTACATGTACATTTTAGTATATACTTTTTAATAAGAGTAATTTTCATAAAAGGTCTCCAATTATAGATCGTTTTTCATATTTAGTCCCTACATATCAAAAATTACTAATTTAGTCTCCAATTATTATATTCATTTCCACGAATGGTCATTTGTTACATTTCCGTTAAGAACGTAGATACAATTGTAAATTCACACTTTTTTCTCTCTTCAATCAAGCTTCGTCTCTCCTCTCGCACTCCTTTCCCAAAGCCGTCGCTGAGTTTGAAGCTTTGAACCCAAAACTATAATTATCACTCTTTTCTCAATCGTTTGTCTAACTGGTGGAACACAAATTCGAAACTAGTAACCTTCATGGATGAGTTCTAATATTTATTTCTTTGCAATTTCTGTTGGAATTACAGAGTTACAGAGTTAGTTTTGTATTTGTTAGAAGTTGGAAGTTGGTTCTCTCTTCTCTTCAAATCTGATTCTCGATCTTATACTCTGGTTTTAATGGCGATGAATACACCAAACCCTAATGCAATTGATCCTACAGATCCGTTGTATCTTCATCCTTCAGATCATCCAGGTCTTATCCTAATTCCTCAAAAATTTGATGGTGATGGCTTCGGCTCCTGGCAAAAATCGATGATGATTGCTCTTTCCGCCAAGAACAAGCTCGATTTCGTGAAAGGAAGAATCGCCAAACCAAATGATCCTTTGAAGGCAGGTATCTGGCAGCGATGTAATGATATGATTACATCTTGGATTCTCAATACTCTGAGCAAGGAAATAGGTGACAGTGTTCTCTACGCCAATACTGTTGCTGATCTATGGAATGAGCTCAACGACAGGTTTGGTCAGACGAATGGAGCTCGTTTGTACCAGTTACAGAAGGAGATATGCTCGATCAACCAAGGAAATTCTGACATAGCAGGTTATTACACCAGAATCAAGAGAGCTTGGGATGAATTGGCTATGGTTTCTCGTCTTCCAAACTGTACATGTGGCGCTGTGCAGGAACTTCTGAAATATGAACAAGATCAGAGACTTGTTCAGTTTCTAATGAGATTAAACTCTGATTATAATGTGACCAGGGGCAATATCCTGATTATGAGACCTCTACCTTCCATTCCAGAGGCATATGGAATCCTTATCCATGAAGAAAGGCAAAGGCAAATTCAGTCCCCTACACACATTTCTCCTGAGCACACTTCTCTAAGTGTTCAAACTCAAGCATCATTCAAAGCAACACATGAAGATAAGAAGATTCCTGTGTGTGAAAATTGTAAGAAGAAAGGTCACAGAATGAGCAAGTGTTATAGACTCATTGGCTTTCCCAAGGATTTCAGATTCAATAAGGGGAAGAAGATTGCTGCAAATGCTTATGGAGGGGAATGCAGCGAGTCTACTGAATCAAGGACAGAAAGTCAGATTTCACCAGAGTTATGCAGTCACTCATGAAATTCCTGAGCTCTATCCAAGGAGATAAACTCAACTCTGCTTCAAATTCCATGAATCAAGCCTTTTCTGCTCATATGGCTGGTACGCTTTTGTCTTCCTCTACTCTTTTGGATACTCATATATGTAATACTGTGCATTCAATTGATGATTCTGCTTGGATATTAGATACAGGAGCCACTGATCATATGTGTTCCAATCCCAATCTCATTACTAAACTCACAAACCTTCCTTTTCCTCACCAAATCAGTCTACCAAATAATCACACTGTCATTGTTCATCAAAGTGGAGTTGCTCATTTGTCTAATGATATTGTTCTGAGTGAGGTCTTATTTGTTCCAGAGTTCAAGTATAATTTGTTATCTGTAGGAAAGTTGTGCAAACAACTTAATGTACAGGCATGTTTCACAGAGAATGCTTGTACATTACAGGACCATCTCAGGAAGAAATCAGTGGAGGTTGGTAAAAGACAAGGTGGTTTGTACCTGACCCAAGCTCATCCACAAAATTCAGGATCCCTCATCAATCACAATTCCAGTGTTTCATCTACTTCAGTCCATTCTTCTCAATGTTACAAAGCTTGTAATAATAATCTTGATGTACAAGTCTGGCATAAAAGACTAGGCCATTTACCCTTTTATAAACTTAAACGCATCTGTACATTTGATGATAATGATTCCAATATGTTGAGTTGTTGTGACATTTGTCCTAAAGCAAGATTACACAGATTGCCTTTTCTTCGTAGTGAGAGTCATACTACTCATATTTTTGAACTTATACATCTTGACATTTGGGGTCCTTATCATACCAAAACATATAATGGGTTCCAATACTTTCTCACAGTTGTAGATGATTTCTCTAGGGCTACTTGGACCTATCTTTTGGCTTCAAAAAGTAATGCCCCTGACATTATCCAAAATTTCATAATCATGGTCAGTACACAGTTTGAAAAACAAGTCAAAGTCATTAGGTCAGACAATGCTTTGGAACTTGGTAAAAGCACATCCCTGTCCCAGTTTTTCCTTTCAAAAGGCATCATTCATCAAACAAGTGTTAGAGACACCCCACAACAAAATGGTGTGGTGGAAAGAAAACATCAACATCTTCTTGAAACTTCTAGAGCCCTCTTTATCCAGTCCAATGTCCCTCACAAATTCTGGGGTGAGTGTATTCTTACATCAACATACTTGATTAACAGATTTCCTTCAAAACTCTTACAAGGCAAATCCCCTTATGAAGTCCTTTTTGGCAAAGCACCAAAATATGATCATATGAGAGTTTTTGGATGTTTGTGTTATACCTCCACTTTGAAACAAGGAAGGGATAATTTTGTTGATAGAGCTACGACATGCGTTTTCCTTGGATATCCTTATGGCAAAAAGGCTTACAAGGTTTATAATCTCACCACACATAAGGTGGAATCCTCTAGAGACATCCTTTTTCATGAATCCATTTTTCCATATCATGACAAATCACCTCAGGATCATCCTTTCTTTTCTAATCCTGACTTCACATATTCCATGGCTTCACATATTCCATGGAGGATTCTTCTGCACATCAATACTTCTTCCCTACCTCCACCTCCACAGAAAACCTCATTCCCATTCCAAATACCAACTCTAACATTTGTCCCAATGTGGTTCCTTCCTCATCATCCTCCTTGAGAAGATCCACAAGAGTTCATCAACCCCCTTCTCACCTTCAAGATTATGTCTGCCATACATCTTCCTGTTTTAGTTCTTCTTCTAGTTTCTGTGCTCATACCCTTACTTCCACTCCTGTGTCTTCTCACATATGCTTAGGGGCTCTCACCCAAGCAAGTCAAAAATTTTTGCATAGTGTTTCATATGTGCAGGAACCAAGGAGCTATGAAGAAGCCAGAAGTAATCCAGCCTGGCAGGAAGCTATGGACATGGAATTCAAGGCCCTAGAGGACACTGGCACATGGGAGATTTGTGATTTGCCTAAAGGAAAGAAACCCATTAGCAGCAAATGGGTATATAAACTGAAATTTAAAGCTGATGGTTCCCTGGAAAGGCACAAAGCAAGACTGGTCATACGCGGTTGCACTCAAAAGGAAGGGATAGACTACCACGAGACATTCTCTCCAGTGGTCAAAATGACCACTGCTAGAGCCTTAATAGCCATTGCAGTCAAAAACCATTGGTCTATTTTCCAACTTGATGTCAACAACGCGTTTCTACATGGAGATTTGAATGAAGACATCTATATGAAACCACCACCTGGAATGAAAATGTCTAATCCCTCTCAAGTTCTTAAGTTACGCAAGTCTCTATATGGTCTCAAGCAAGCTTCCAGGCAATGGTACGCTAAGCTGTGTGCAGTTCTAAGATCTCAAGGATATGTTACCTCCAAGAATGACTATTCCTTGTTCACTAAGATTACACCCAATTCAGTTGTCCACTTAGTCGTTTATGTAGATGACATTCTTATCACTGGAAATAACCTCCATGAGATTAATGCCTTGAAACAATACCTCAATGATCTCTTCAAAATCAAGGATTTGGGTCCCCTGGGCTATTTTCTAGGCTTGGAAGCTGTCTATAATAGTCAAGGTCTGATCCTAACTCAACACAAGTTCACAATGGATCTCCTTCAACAATTTCATTGTCCTCCTACAGCTCATGCCACATGGCCATTGGAAACTAATATACAACTTCAAATTAGTGTTGGCTCCCCTCTTCCAGATCCTTCTTTATACAGAACCTTAATTGGGAAGCTTAATTTCCTTACACACACAAGGCCAGATATAGCCTTTGCTGTCCAGTTTCTCAGCTAATTCATGCAAGATCCTCGGGTACCTCATTGGGAGGCTGCACAACATACTCTACGTTATCTTAATACAAAACCTTCTCAAGGTTTGTACTTCAACAATTCCCCAAATCTCAAAATGGAAGCTAACTGTGACTCTGACTGGGCTGCTTGTCCAAACACTCGAAGGTCTGTTAGTGGGTCCTTCATTTTGTTGGGTGGATGTCCCATTTCTTGGAAATCTAAGAAACAGCCCACTGTATCTCTCAGTTCAGCAGAAGCTGAATACAGATCTATACGCAGAGTCACAGCTGAATTGGCATGGTTGTCAAGACTCTTTGCTGAATTTCAAGTCCCAGACATTGTTCCCATTCCAGTTAAATGTGACGGCCGTGCTGCCATCTATATTGCTACTAATCCAGTTTATCATGAACGCACAAAACACATAGAGCTGGACTGTCACTTTGTTAGAGAAAAGGTCCAAGAGGGGCTCATCACTCTCATTCATGTTCCTACTACTCAACAACTAGCAGATTTGTTTACTAAGAGTCTCCCAGGTCCTCTGCATCATCAGATTCTTGGCAAGTTAGGGGTTCAAACACCCTCTAACTTGAGAGGGGTGTTGGAATTACAGAGTTACAGAGTTAGTTTTGTATTTGTTAGAAGTTGGAAGTTGGTTAGCTAGATATTTTTTTTTGTTATGTTTGTTATGGTTGTTAACTGTGTTTAGCACGTGCTTATTTCCCCTTTATATACCCTGTACTGTTCCTTTTTCCAATTTGAGTAATGAAGAGAATTTTCCTTTCATTTCTTCTCTTTCTCTGTTCTATCTGCGCATCATGAACTCCAACAATTTCTTGAGATTAACCGATAAAATTCATCCATAAAGCTTATTGGTTTTGATTTTAGGTTCCATCAGGAAAACTAATAATTGAGAGAGGAATGATCATTTCAGTTTTAGGGTTAGAGCTTCAAACTCAGCGACGAGTTTGAAAAAGAGTACGAGAGGATGGATGAAGCTTAATTAAGGAGAAAGAGAAGTATGAATACCTAATTTTATCCATGTTTTTAACAAAATGTTAACAAAGGACCATTCGTGAAAAATGATATAATAATAGGAGAATAAATGAGTAATATTTGATGTGTAGAAACTAAATATATAAAATGACATATAATTGGAAACCTTTTATGGAATTTACTCTTTTAATAATGTACATGTTCATACTTGGTAATGTACAAACATTTTAACTCATATTTTGAGAATAAAAACATGAAACTCCTACTATTTTGATATATTTTTAATATTTTACTTTTATTTTAATCATTTTTATATTGCAAAGTAATATTTTTTGTTGATTTTTATGTAGTTCGAAACAAATATTGGAAGAGACAAAGAGAAGAATAATTATTTTGCGAGGAAACAAAAAATCACGATTACAATTTAAATTATTATTCAAAAAATTAAATTTGACCCCCACAAAAAATTCTTAACCTTAGCTTCACCCACAAAGGAAAAAAATCCGAATACCATAAAATAAATTTGACTAAAATACTCCACGAAGAAAATGTATCCCTAATTCTGCGGATTAATGCTCCCAAAATAACGTACACCAAACTTAGTTTGCACAGACCAAAACACGAGTAAATTTGACTGGTTTTCATTTCTTTTTTAAGATTGAAATATATATTCCATCCGTTTTTTTGTTGCAAAATCTCCTTTTTAAAAAATATTTTATTTACAAATTATTACACAAATAAAAAAGTACAAATTATGAGTATATAAAATTACATACTCCGTGAAAAACTCTACAAAAAAATGGTGATAAAAATAATTTATTTTATCAAATTGTAAAAATTGTATGCTCCACTATTTACATGTCTTATTTTGACTCTTTTTTTTTGCAGGCAAATTCTTAGATTTGCTTCTTGGGTCAAATTTTATTTTATGGAACTTGGTATAAAAAACACATGTAAAAATTGAGTTTTTTTGTAAAAGGTGTGAGAGGATTCACATTTTTAATGTAGGCTTTAAGATTACAGAAGCATTACTCTTTTCTGTAATACAAAAATATTCCTTCCGTCTCTTGTATTTTTCTAATTTGACTTTTTTAATCAAACTAAGTGAACTTTAATTTCAATCACTCTCATTTTTTTGCATATATTTATATGATGAAATAAAACTATAAAGGTTTTCAACAAAATAAAGTTAATAAAATCATTTTATACTAATATATTGTACATTATAATTTTTGTTTAATTGAAGTTCAACATTTATCCAGTTTGACATGAAAAATTCAAACTAGACAAATTTA